TTTGTTTTCTTATCCATTCAGTCACTCTCTCTTTTGGTTGGAGCATTTAAGTCTTTTCCATTTGAGGAACTTCTTGATAGGAACATAGTTGTTACCATTCTTTATTCCTGTTTTTAATACATGTTTTTCTTCTTAAAGAAGTCTCTTCAACATTTCCTGTAATACTGGCTTGGTGGTAATTAATTCCTTTAGCTTATTTTTGCCTGAGAAGCTTTTATCTGTCCTTCAACTCTAAATGATAGCTTTGCTGGAGAAAGTATTCTTGGTTGTAGATCTTGGGTTTTAATCACGTTGATTATTTCGTGCCAGCCCTTCTGTCCTGCATAGTTTCTTTTGAGAAATCAGCTGCCAGTTTTATGGTTGCTCTCTTTTAGATAACCAACTGCTTTATTTACTGCTTTTAAGATTCTCTCTTTGTATTTAACCTTTGGCATTTTAATTATGATATGTCTTGGTGTGGGCCTCTTCGAGTTCCTCTTTTTAGGGACTCTGAGCTTCCTGGGATTTATGTCTATTTCCTTCACCAGGTGAGAGAAGTTTTCCATCATTATTTCTTCAGATAGCTCTTCAACTTCTTGTTCTCCTTCAGGTGCCCCTGTGACATGGATATTTTTACATTTAATTTTAGCTTCTTTTTTCTTGCCGTTCTGATTGGGTGTCCTTGGCTTCCCCATCCTCTATATTGGTGGTTCGATCCTCTTCTTTATCCACTCTGTTGATTCCCTCTGATATACTCTTCATCTCAGATGATGCGTTCTTCATTTCTAACTGGTTCTCTTTTATAATTTCCATTTTTATGTTTTTTATCTCTTTTTTAAAGTTCTTACTGAGTTCATCTACTCTTCCCGTAAGTTCATTGAGCATCTTTATAACTAGTGTTTTGAACTCTGCATCTGTTAGATTGCTTGGCCCCCATTATTCCTGGATCTCTGTTGGTGTCTGTTTTTATGTTAGTACCATGCTGTTTTGATTAATATAGCCTCATAGTATAGTTTGATATCAGGTAGTGTGATATCTTCTTTCTCAAGATTGCTGTGGCTATTCGGGGTCTTTTGTGGTTCCATATAAATTTTAGGATTATTTATTCTAGTTCTATGAAAAGTGCCATTGGTGTTTTGATAGAGATTACATTAAGTCTATAGATTGCTTTGGGTAGTATGGATGTTTTAACAATGTTAATTCTTCCTACCATGAGCAAGTACTGTTCTTATTTTATTGATGGTGACACTGAGGCTTCGAAGTGTAATGACACCTGCCGCGTTCATGAAGCTTATGGGTGCTCTAGTCAGGATTCAAATTTAAATATACTTCTGGCATTCGACCTTGGTTTTACTGTTCTGCAAGACTGCTTTCTCGTATCTGAATTCCGAAGTCCAGAAAACTCTAAAAATTGAAGTTCTTTTTTCATACCTTTGTTGCCAAAACTCACTGCATGGCAAAACCTGATCTGAGGTATCTTAGAGCCATGATCTGTATCCTGCTCAGTGTAAATGTGCACAGATTTCACTGTAGCTATGTTGTGTCCAAATAATAGGCCATATTACACAGTGGAGGTACGTACTTCTTTCTACCTTCCTAAAATCTGAAAACCTTTACATTATGAAACCATCTAGCCCTGTGGGTTTTTGGAACAGATATGGACCTGACCACCGCTTGCCACCTGGTGCCTGACAGTCAGCTCTCACTTCTTACGGCCCTTCCTCTTCACCCTACCTGTGTGCTTCTTGTTTGTTACTCCAAATATGTTGTGGACGTGGAAATTTAAGCATGTAAATTTTGACTGCCCAAAAAACTCAGCTATTTTTTTTTAAATCTTGAGTTCATACAGATACTCCCAGTTCCAATTCACCATCACAAGATTCTTCCTCTTCTTCCTCAATCCCTGACTTCCTTCTTTTACAGGGAGAACATAACATTTCTCTTGTGCTTAAAAAAAGAGTCCTTTCTGTTTAACCAGGGTACAAAGTATTTCTCCTGGTATGGGAAAACGTAGACATACATTTTAACTTAGGTAATAGGTCCTTCACTTTATAATAAGAGTTACTATGAGTTTTTAATATCAGCATTTTAAGTACATTAAAAATGATTCACGTACAAAAATAATATTCATACAGAACATTTTAGGAGTGACATATGTTATCTTAAGCAAAGCAACCAGTCATTTTAAATGTTAATGTTTTAAGGCCAAATAAATGTATATGGAGTAGAGGTTAGAAGGTCATCGCTGAGAATTCCACCTTTCTTCCTTTCTTGGAGTAGTTTCCGAGTGAAAGACAGAATCAGATTAGTTAAATATTTACTGAAGGCCTTCAATGTACTCAGAATGAGGGAAGTAAGAGGTGGGTCGTTCAAGACTAATCTTTTATTCTAACACTTTTGAAAATGGGGAAAGGGAGTGAGGGGTGAATGCGGGAAGAAAGTTCTGCAGATGACGTTCAAAAGTGGATTCTTTTATTTCTGGTCTTATTTGGTGGGGAGATGAAAGGAATAAACCAGAACTTGGCTGGAAGTGTTAGAAAATTGGATTTACTCCTGCATCTCTAATTGGCTGCCTTTATCACGTGTGGAAGAATAAGGAGAATTTGGAGGAGACAGTTGTTAGATGACCTTCCCCCTCTTTGGGCCTGGTCCCCAGGTTGCCCATTTTTCAACATCCTCTAGGGAATATGGAGCCCCAGGAAGGCCTATCAAGTATGAGGGAGGTGGCGGGGACCCATAAGTATCACAGAGGTCAGAAGGACTACTGTTTATTGAACACTTGCTCTGTGTCAGGCTCTACACACGTCATCACAGTCTTTACAAAAACCAAAGTTTCATCCCCATTTTACGATTAAGACAGCTGAAACTCAGAGAGTTTGAGAAGTTTACCAAAGGTGTCCCACCCCCAAAATGGAGGAGTTGGGGCTGGAGCACATTTTTGTCTCCAAAGCTCATGTCCTTTCTATCATGTCCTCCATTCCCCAACCATCATCGGGTTTACAGCAAGGCTGGGGGTGTGGGGGCAGGGCCAGTCATGGAACTGCTCAGGTACACATGGCAGCCTGGGAAGGGGCTCAGTTTTTCTTTCAGACGGGGTACCTTTTTTCCCACTGTGTCCTAGGTATGTAAATTTTCTGCATAACCAGCTCAGGGAAATCAACAGAAGACTCCCTCACCTCTGTCTTTATGGTCAACAGTGTCTTCCCCTCGGGCATGCTGTGATTGACCCCTCTGCTTCTGAGCATACCTGTGAGCTAGTTTCTCTGGCACATTTCAAGCCCTGTGTCTCTGTCAGAGGTAGGGTCTGTGGCTACTTCCCTAAGTGGCAGAGCTCTGGTCCCTGAAGAAACACATTTGAAGAAAATCTCAGTACACAGTAGGCGAATATTTGTGGAATGAATGGATCTGTTGCCTTCTAGAAACCCCTCTGAACAGGAATGGATTAACATGTTCTTCTACTTTTGTGCTTGGCAGTTTTCCCACAGTGTTTATTTGAAAACAAATTCAGATTAGATCCCAGGTCACTTTTATATTGCTGCTGGTAACACTAGGAATGGATTTGTGTTAAGAAAAAAAAAAACTGCTTTCAAGGTTGCGTCTTGGAATAAATGTTCTTTTTCTATTCTAATTAAATTATTTTCTTAAACCTGCTATTTCGGAGGATAAAAATTTAACTAGAGTCTGCGGGATTATTTAATTTTCTCTTCCCAACCAGTAATTGTGCTACCACGGGAGCATTTATTATTCCATCTGTTAGACTGTAAATCATGGAACATTTTTCATCTCTTAATAGGGAGAGATAATGCTTGTGAGAAAACTTCATATATGTTTCTACGAAAGGAGCTTCCTGTGAGACTGGCCAACACAATGAGAGAAGTTAACCTCCTGCCGGATAATTTGCTTAACCGTCCTTCTGTGGGATTGGTTCAGAGTTGGTAAGTAAATATGTGGCTTCAAATAGGTCTTCCCATGATGCTCTGAACATTTGGCATTGAGACCATTCTCCCTAAAAGTACATGTACTGCCTGTGTGGGAATGAGTCACTCGGGATAGCCAGGTTTTCCAGGCGATTAAAAATTTTTTCTTTTTTTTTTTTTTTTTAAACTGACAATTTAATATCGTCTACTTTTAAATGATACTGGACAGACAGTTTCTTGACTTTTCAAATTTGACTTTTCTGGTCACAAATGTGATTAGTCATTGAAAAAATTGAGAAAGTACAGAAAAAATAGGAATAGCGATGCAATGACCCATGTGACCAGGGCTGTAATCCTTTCGATGGGGGATGTTGCATCAATCAAGTTTCAGCCATGCTTTTTTTTTTTTTTAAGAAATTCCTTGAAGACAGTATTTCTTTTAGAACAAATTAAGTCATGTAAAGGGGCCTCAGATTAGAAAAATATCAGTACTGCTGTGCTGCTGCCTTTGCCCTGTGAAAAGTATGAAACATCTCAACAGTATAACTTAAAGTTCAATCAGGTATAGCTGATGCTTAAAGCATGTGTTATTTACTTGAGCGAGTTTCATTTGTGAATAAACTACCCGCTTAGGTAAAGCTGGCTGAGGTTGGTGAGTGGTAGGATGGAAGAGCCGGTAGTGTATTTTTGGAAGGGGATTTGCATATTTGAGAAACACTTACATGTCTCCTCTGTATTATAAAAGCAAGGTAGAAGTCACTGTGGAGAAAGCTGGAGGAGTTTGGGAGGCTAGATGTGAAATGTGCTCTCTAGCCAGTACAGAGGAAGTGCTGTGGGAGGCTGGAGGAGTGGGGAGAAGTGCCAACTGTGGTTTTGCGCTGCCCCTCGACGAGTGGGTGGAGTTGACAGGGACAGGGAGAGCATTTTAGGGGAAAGGAATGATATAGACAGATAAAAGGAGAATGGAACTATTAATTAGCTTGCATTTAGAGTGTTAGTGGAGGCTAGGCTGCTGAAAGAGAGTTGACATTCAATAGTCATTCCTCCATAATATTAATTATAATAAATTCTTAGGCTGAGAATGAATCATCTGAGAAATGCCCTGTTGGGTGATCTTAGAGATACAGCATCTAGTTCCTGTCCCAGACAGGCAGCAATTCCTCACTGTGGGAGGCACAGGGGCCCCGGAACCCGGGAGAGATCAGAGAGACAGCAACTGTGGCTTCCTCTCATAGTTGCTTTCTACCCTAAGTCTATAGTTTGTTTCACAGAAGGAGCAGCAAGTACTTGTTTGCACAAGACTTCTTCATAGCTTTAAGGCCATCATTAGAGATTTCTAGCAGAAAGTATGTAAGCACTACTGGGGCTACTGTGCTGGGGATTCTAGGCAGGCTAGATAACTTTCAGGTTCCCTGGCCCTGGTGGCAGTGACAGATATTTACTATCACTTATGTAAAAGTTACTTCAGGGGCTTCAAAGCGAATTGCTGGCGAAGTACAGACTCAAATTACTGTGTCAACTCTTCTTGTGTCTCCTCACCATTCTTCTTCCATAGCCATTCCAAACACATACATGCCATTTCTTCCTTTTTTAAAAGCATTTAATTTTGAAATGATTTCCTACTTAACAAAAGGGTTTGTAAGATTAGTAGCAAGAATTTCCATGTGCGTACCTTCACTCAGATTCACGGATTAACATTTGACAACATGCGTTCTGTCATTCTCATTCATATTCTCCCCCTCCCTCCCTACTCTCCACTCCCTCCTCCTCCCTGTGTATTTGTGCTATACCACACACACACATACGTGGTACACACGTAGGTATATATAATACACTCACACATTTTTCCCTCTGCACCATTGGGCTAATAGCAGACATCCATCATGCCCCTGCACTCCTAAATGCTTTAGTATGTAATTCTTTAGAACAACTCTCAAAAAACCACAGTATGGTTATCAAGTTTGGAAATTTAACATTGCTCCAGTAGTATTTTCTAATGTGTAGAACTTGTTCTCTTTTCATTAATTTTCCTAATAGTGCTTTTTTTTT